TCCTCCTCCTCCTCACAATGGCACCACACCCTTCTCTCTGCTCCTCAGCATTTCTCTCCCCTCATTCCCCCTCTCTCTCCCCCCCCTTCGGTTCCCCGAACCCCGCCCCCAACCCACCTTGTGTGCTGTGCTGTGCGTCTCCTGCACTGCATGCCAAGCAGCTGGCCCACTTAGCCACCACGTATGCAGCTGTGGCAGCGCTGGTGACGGTGGGAGGGGAGGAGGCTCTCTCCGTGGTCAACAGGTGTGCCTGCCTGCGCCCTCACTCCGCCTCTCCACCCTGTTCCCACACTCCTCCTCTCCCACACTCCTCCTCTCCCACACTCCTCTCCCACACTCCTCCTCTCCACCCTGCTTCCATACCCCTCGTAGCGTGCTTCCATAGCCCTTCTCTTACGCCTCTGCTCAGTTCGTTCTTTCACCCTTCCCCCCATCCCTCCTCGTCCTCTTCCCCCCGCCGTCTCTTCCCCTTCTCCTCTTCCTCTGCTCATTTCATTCTTCTCTATCTTTCCTCTTCCCTCCTCTAGCCCTTAACTGTAACTCCCTCCTCTTCCCACATGTCCCTCCTCTTCCCACATGTCCCTCCTCTTCCCGCATGTCCCTCCCTCGCACATACTCTCCTCCGTCTGAGGACTAGGAAATCGATGCTTGCCTTTCTGCGCCGCATGAAGTGCCAATCAGGAGGTTTCAGGTGAGCTGGTTCTCTCTCGAACCATGTCAGAACGGCTGCCATGCCATGCCATGCCATGCCATGGGATGGACGTGTCTTGTCTTGAGAGGCCACCATAAGAGCACCGAGATCATGTTTCCATTGCAAGCATCAAACTTGGACGTCTCTTTTCTTGACCATTGCGCTGCTTCCCTCAGCCTCCCAGGGGGCAGGCCCTGCTTGAACCCCTCTTGCTTATTCCATCTCTGCCGCCCATCGGTTGTGCAGGCTCCATCAAGGGGGGGAAACGGACGTGAGGGGGTGTTATACTGCTATGGCGGTGAGTCATATACTGCTGCTCTGGGTTTAGAGGCGCCTCAAAAGTTTTGAGGCAGGCTAATTGAGTGCCTCACCTGCGCCTCCTTCATCATTTGTCAGTTGTTTGCGCTCTCCTTGTCGAGATGTCTCAACCCTCGCTCCCCCCCTCCCCCCCCCTCCTCCTCCCTCCCAGGTGGCCCACCTCCTCTGCATCCGCCCACCTGACCTTACAGAGAACGTGGCAGCATACGTATACAGGTGGGCGGTTGAGAGGGGTGATGAGAGGTGATGAGAGATTATGCCTGCAAAGGTCTGGGTTCTTTCTGTGCATGGAAAAAATATATCATGGTGCAATCTGGGTAGAATTTAGGTTGTGCAATGCAATGTGCAGCTCACTTGCAAAGTGCGCATTGCCTTCCCATGTCCTCTCCTGTCCGCCTTCACAGGTGTCAGACTTATGAAGGGGGCATTGGGGGAGAGCCTGGCGCAGAGGCGCATGGGGGGTGAGTGGGCGGAGTTGGAATGGTCTTCCAGTGGGGGAAATGGAATGTGAGGGGCGGAGGGGAGGGTGTGAGTTGAAGAGTGGGTTGGGATGAAAGTGCTTAGGAGACAGACAGCATGGGGTGTGAGGCGAGGAGCATGAAGGGAAGGAAGGGGATTGGCTTCATGGCATCACATCATCATGCTCTTGGGAGCCCTGGCGTTTTGGGATTATACAGGCATTCCGTCCGCGCAAGCCCCATCCCCTTCTATGCGATCATCATGTTCCTTCTCCATTTCCTCGTCATGCCTCTTCACTCGCCACGTCTTTTCCTTATCACACTGCCTCTCACTGCTCGCCACGCAGTTACACATTCTGTGGGCTCGCTGCGATGCTATTGGCTGGTGCTGACCCTTGGGAGCATCTCAACCTGCCCCTGCTCCTGGTCTGTATCATTGCCCCCCCCCCCCCCCCTTCCCCGTTTCCTCCTCCAGTAAATATCCTTTTTGAGATTAATAAAATAACACAAGTGAGACAAGCATACTTTAAAGCAATGCCCTTTTCACCCCTTCCTGCTTCTGCATCGTAGATTCGTACCTGTAGTTGATGTCGACGATTTTCTAGTTTCTTTTCAGAAACTAGTTGCTGCACCAGAATGCTGCTTCTTTGACAGCATCTCATCCCTTCTTTCACCCAACCACCTCCTGCCCATCCTCTCCTGTCCCCATCACCCGTCTTGCCATCTTTCCATTCCAGGACTGGCTGGTGTTTAGGCAGGGCAGTGTGGAGGGGGGCTTTCAGGGGCGAAGCAACAAGCTGGTGGACGCCTGCTACAGCCTCTGGCAGGGTGGCCTCTTCCCTCTCCTCGCCCTCTGCTCCTCCTCCCACACCCGCCCCACTGGCGATGCCAGCTCAGCGCAACAGCCGAGCAAAGTGAGCTCAGTGCCGCGTACGGAGGGTGCAGGGGGAGAGCAGCAAGGCATGCAGGCGGACAACAATGGGGAGGAGAGGGGGGCTGTTGGCGAGCCCAGTGGTGTCGCTGGTTGTTCCGGCCAAGAAAAGAGCCAAGAACAGAGCGGCGCTCAAGAGCGCTCCAGTGGAAGCGAAGGCGGTGGAGGTGATGGGAGAGGTGGAGAGGGGGCGGAGGATGAGGAGGATGAGGAGGAGGAAGATGAGGAGGATGAGTGGGAGGAAGCAGATGTGGAGTCGTTTCACCGTGTTCCCTTGGCGGCTGCTGCTGACCTCTTCCCTTGCCCCGAGTCTCTCTTACCGCCTGCTGGAGCTGGGGAGGGAGGCGAGAGGACGGGAGGAGAGAGGGGGGGAGGAGAGGAGAGGGGAGGGGAGGGAGAGGAGGGGAGGGAAGGGGCGGCAGGTGCAGTGCGAGGGGAGTCGGGGGACAGGGCAACTGCACGTGGTGGGAGTGATTGGGTTGGCAGCTTCTGTTACAACGACGTGGCGTTACAGGCATACCTGCTGCTCTGCTGCCAGGTTAGTGCCATACCTGCTGCAAGGTTGGTACCGTACCTCACCACACCACCTCAATCTTCTCTTGACGCTTCACCACCTTTCCCTCCCACTTCCCTTCCTGCCCCCAAATCCAGTCATGGAGACTGCCTCTTGCCTTTCCATTTCCGAAGCCTTTCCCTTGTCTGCCGTCTGTATGCCATGCCAGCCTCCACCATCATCATGATCCTCTTTGCACCTCGGCACTCCCCTCTCTTCACTTGCCGTGTGTGCAGATGCCAGAGGGGGGACTGAGGGACAAGCCAGGCAAGGCACGCGACTACTACCACACATGCTACGCCCTCAGTGGCCTCACAGCGGCCCAGCACTCCCATCCAGTGGCCTTACCCACCCACACCCATGCCCCCCAGCAAGCTGCGGCTAGTGTGGATGTAGGAGTGGGGGGAAGTGTGTTAGGGCCTGTTTCGAATTTTCTGGCCGTGGCGGAGCCTCGATGTAATGTCAGGCGGGACAAGTATGACGAAGCGATTCTGTTCTATGAGGAATGTGAGGCTTTGCTGTAGAACGCAATACTTGCTGTGAAAATGTGTGTAAGAAACTCCCTGTTTAAGCGTGCGCTGTACTGCTAACGAAGCATGTCGTTTAGCGCGTCATTGCTAGAACCCAGAAATGATTTGATGCAAGCGTCTTGAACACAAGGCTTGTCATTTCGTCAACACTTGAGCATCCAAGCCAAGGGCAACTAACTGAGCTCGGCGCGCAGCAGCCTCCACAGCAGCAAGAGCGCGCGTGCATGCGCGGGCTTCCCTCAAGCGGGCGCCTCCTGATTGCCACGCTCACCCGCTCGATACAGTCACATCGGGCTCAGTCACCCTGCGCCCCGCACTATTCTTTGCTCCAAAGCGCGCCGAAAGTTGTGTGGGCGTTGTTTCCGGGAGGTGCATTGGGATCCCCGCGCGCACTGGGAGCACCGCGCGTATCGGAACTCGGGCGCCAAGTGATATCTGCGCGCGGGCTGACTTCCGCGCAAGCGGCCCCACGAATGGGGGATAAGCGCAAAGCGAACGGGGAAGGGGAGGCTGAGAACAAGAAGTCAAAGGCGGCGGTAGCGGGAGAAGAAGGGTCCGCAGGCGCAGGGGGGGCAGCGGGAGGGGGAGGCGAGGTCATGGGGGGGCCCTCAGGGTTTAAGGTTTTGAAAGAGGGTGCAGCGGAGATTTTAGTACAGGGTAACGACGTGTTCTATAACAAGGCGCAGGTAGTTAATCGCGACCTGTCCGTTTGCGTGCTCCGCGCGTTCGTCGCAGTTCGGCGGGAGGAGGAGAATCAGCGGGCCGCGGCGGCGGCGGCGGGAGTGAAGGGACGCGCGCTCCTGAAACACCCAAACGCGGACCTTGCGGCGAAATCTGCGGCGGCTGCTGCGGCGAAGCTTAGAGGCGGGGAGAAAGGTGGAGCCGCGGAAAGCGGGGAAGGCGGGGAGAAAGGGGAAGCGGGGGATGGGAAGGGTGAAGACAAAGAGGTGAAGGAAAGAGAGGGAAGAGCAGCAGAAGGGGCCGCGGGAGGGGAAGGAGGGGAGGGGAAGGAGACGAGCGGAGAGAAGGGGGACGGCGCGACTGCAACAGACTCAGCGGCTGAAGCGGGGGAGGGGCAGCAGCAGCAGCAGCAGCAGGCGAAGGTGGCCGAAGTGAAGCCTTTGAGAATCTTAGAGGTAGGTGTTACCCGGCAGCCGCTAATCCATGCTGGTTTTTGAGACTTCTAAAAAATCAGAGAATCTTAGAGGTAGGTGTTACTCGGTTAATCCATCCATCCACCACCATTTCATGGACCCGGAAGCCGCCCCTCTCATTCGTTACCCGCCCTCCCCACTTCGAACCTTCGCCCACACTTCAACTCGTCTCTTTGCCCACACTCACTCCCCCCTCCCGGGGATTAGCAGCATCAGGCCTGCGGTCGATCCGGTATGCGAAGGAGATCCCGGGGGTGGGCGCGGTGGTGGCACTGGACAACGACCCCGTGGCCGTGCAGGCCTGCCAACGCAATGTAGCGCTCATCCTCCGTGCTACTCCACACCGCACCTTCTCCTCTTGACCTTACCCCTTGCAGGGCCTGGCAGCATCAGGCCTCAGGTCGATCCGGTATGCCAAGGAGATCCCGGGGGTGGGCGCGGTGGTGGCACTGGACAACGACCCCGTGGCCGTGCAGGCCTGCCAACGCAACGTGGCACACAACTTCGGTGGTGCACCACCACCCGCCACCGCCACTGATGCTGCTCCACCACCACCCGCCACTGCTGGTGGTGCTGCTGTGGCTGAAGGGGAGGGAGGGGAGGGAAAGGAGGAGGGTAAGGGAGGGGATAAGTCGGCGAGTGAGGGAGGGAAGGGGGAGGGGGAGAGGGTGGTACCAGTGAGAGCAGAGCAAGGCGATGCGCGTGTGTACATGATACTGCACGAGAAGCAGTTTGATGCGGTGAGTGAGTGTGGGACTGCAATGCAGCAGTGCCAGGCTTACGTTACGGACACATTATTGGTACATTGACTGACCCAGCAACATCTTATGTCCAGCTCTCATGTATTCCCATCCCCAATACCTCGTGCGTAAAGCTGCCTTTCCAATTCACCCTTCTGAGTGTGGGAACACCTCCGCCCTTGCTTGCCTTCACTCCTCATGAATGGGGCCACGCAAGCATTGCCAGTGTTTTCAGTCGATTCGAATCTTGACTCGATTTTTAGTTGACGCCGGACCTGCACGGCTCACTGTCGGTCTTCCTAATCGGGTACTGCAGGCGGAGGCAGAGGCGTTGACTGAGTCGAAGTCTGAGCCGAGTCAGCCCTAAACTCTATCCAAACATCTACCCTGCTACCTTCATCTCCCCAGGTGGATCTGGACCCGTACGGGACGCCGTCAAATTTGTTTAGATGGGGCGGTGCAGGCAGTGGCGGATATCTGAGTCAATTTGCAAATCCTTCTCTCCCGTGTGACTGCAGGTGGATCTGGACCCGTATGGGACGCCGTCAGTCTTCCTGGACGGGGCGGTGCAGGCAGTGGCGGATGGGGGCATGCTGCTGGTGACAGCTACTGATATGGCCGTGCTGTGTGGCAACAACGCCGAGGTCTGCTACTCCAAGTGAGCCCATGTGTCGGGCACAACTCTTATATCTGTTGAGGATTTGGGTTCAGGATTTTTTTAGGTGCATATACGGATAAGGGCCTAAGCCGTTGGTGAGAGCACGAACATGGCCGTGATGTGCCGGAACAACGCTGAGGTCTGCTGCTCCAAGTGAGATGCTGTTTTTCAGAAAAAAAAAAAAAAGGTTAATTTACAGGCAGGTCCAGGTTGCCCAGACACTTCTGTTACCATCCATACCCGATGTGTGTCTGCCCTGTTTGTGCATCGTTTGACTGTTTCAGATGGCTTTCGAGTCGTCGCAGAATTAATATTGTGCGCCTTTTGTGTGTCCTCTGTATGGCTGTATCAGGTACGGGGCCTATCCACACCGTGCCAAGTACTGCCACGAGATGGCCATCCGCATACTGCTTGCCTCCATCGAAGTAAGCCTCGCTTGAATCACTTCTCTTAGCCGCCGCAGAGTTCACAGGAGCTCCCATCATAGGGGCAGTGTTCATAGGAACACTAATCATCACCCATTTCCATAAAGTTGCTCCTCGTAGCTTCACATTACATTGTCACCACAATCTCTCCTCCCGTCCTCAACAATCCCTTCGCCCTCTACGTGTGACGCCACATGCCACACCAATTCCCCCCCCCGTGCCCTGTGGTGGTGGTGCCCATCAGAGTGCAGCGAACCGGTTCAAGCGGCACATAGTGCCGGTGTTGTCCGTGTCCGTTGATTTCTACATCCGCGTGTTTGTGCGCGTCTTCACGTGAGTCGTTCGGATTGGGTAGAGAGAGAGAGTGTAGGTTAACTACAACACTGCTGCACTGGATGATATGATCTGAAATGACTCACTGCGTCTCGGACCATCTTTCTGTGATCATTCAACACGCAAATCGAATTTGTTTTCTATGCACTAAACTGACCTGCCGTTCAGAGCCTCATAACTGTCTTGACTCCCCTTCCCTTCCCTCTGTGCCTCCTCCTCTGCTGCCTCCGCTCTTCTGCTGACCGGGCCGGCCATCAGGTCGGCGCAGGCAGTGAAGGCGACCCCCAGCAAGCTGGCACACGTCTTCCAATGCTCTGGATGTGACTCCTACCACCTGCAGCCCGTGGGGCGGGTTGTTGAGGGGCGAGCAAAGGTGAGACTTGAGTTGATTCAAAACAAGCTGTCATGCGGCTGAGAATTGTAAGGATCCTCTGATGATGGAACCAAGCTGGCATACGTCTTCTAGTGCTCCAACTGCGGCTCCTACCACCTACAGCCTGTGGGGCGGGTCGTTGAGAGGTGTGCCAAGGTTAGGCTAATCAGAGAGAAAGGGCAAGAAATGAAGAACAGAACAGAGATGCTGCCACATACAGAACAGCGTCATGACATCCACGCACCTTGCACTGTCGCTGCCAGCAGCAGCAGCAGCAGCAGCAGCAGCAGAAGCAGCCACCAGACTTCCAGCCCCACTCTCCTCGTCTTCCTACCCCCATCACGTCCACTTTCTCTCGTCGTCTATCCCTGCCTGCCTTGTCCCAGGAATCCAGGCACCTTCCTTTTTCCCCTTCCAATTGCATCTGGGAATCAGAGGATCCATGTGGACCAGACAACGTCCCCACATGCAAACTGTGTTGTAGACATTCTAGACAATTCTTTCTTCTTTCTCATCCGACTCCCCCCTCCTCTTTCCTCCCTTTCTTTACCTCCGTACCCCCCGGCCCTCCAGAAACCAGACGCCCCTCCCCCTCCCCCCAGGTACCTCCCCGGTTTGGGCCCAGTGATTCCCCCTGCGTGTGAGCACTGCGGGCGGCATCTAAGCATTGGAGGGCCCATGTGGTCGGCGCCCATCCATGACGCCAGCTGGGTTCGGCTGGTTCTGGGGGAGGTGCAAGCGGGGAAGGGCAGACTGGCTGGGTTCGGCAAGGTGCATGGGCTGCTGACTGCCGTGTCTGAGGTAAGGGAGGGGGGCGCGTGGCAGGGGGGAGGGTGAAGGGGGAGAGGAAGGGGAAGGGGGAAGGGGGAAGGGGGTAGGGGGAAGGGGCAGAGGCCGATGATGGTCTGTTGTGACACTAGGTGCTGATGGGATGCTGACTGCTGCGTTTGAGATAGGAGTATGGGAGAGAGAGGGGGACCGGATGATACGACATGGCAGACCGAAGAGAGGAGCCGAACAGAAGGAAAAGTTGGTACTATTTAGAGAATCATTTTTCAGAATCTTTCCTGTTTCTTCCTGTCCCAGAACCTGCCATGATCACAGGAGCTGCATGACATCCCTCGCCACGCTTAAGTGCGCGCCTCCCTTTACCTCCGCCCCTGCACCACACTCAAATGTAGTTTCCATCCACCTCTCTTGCCACCCCAGGAGCTGCACGACATCCCACTGTACCTCGACCTGCATGAGATCAGCGCCACGCTCAAGTGCACGCCCTTCTCCCCATTTGTCCTTCCCCTCCTATCCCTCTCTCCCCTTTCCCTTCCCCTCCCGCCACCCCAGGAGCTGCACGACATCCCGCTGTACCTAGATCTGCATGAGATCAGCGCCACGCTCAAGTGCACGCCGCCCAGCATGCTGCTGTTCCGCTCCGCGCTGGTCAATGCAGGGCACCGCGTGTCGGGGGCGCACTCCAACCCACTTGGCATCAAGACCGACGCCCCGTTGGGGCTCATCTGGGATGTCATGCGCTGTTGGGTGAGTGATGCGTGGGGAATGGTGGGGTGAGAGAGGCTGTTCTGCTCCGCGCTGGTGAATTGAGGGCACCGCGTGTTCGGGGCGCACGCCCTCCAACTCACTCGGCATCAAGACGGATGCCCCCCTGGGGCTCATCTGGGACGTCATGCGCTGCTGGGTGAGTCATGCGTGGGAGATGGGGGGAGAGGGGCTGGATTGTGTATTCAGACAGCATGGGATCATGTGATCATGCATGATGCAATGATGTGAGCACGAATGTGCAAGTTATGCATCACCCTCTCCATGAGTCACGGCCATGATGTCATTCATACGACGCTTACGTGTAACACGCCACTCACCCCGTGCTGATGTGGTAACCAGATCCGAGACCATCCGGTGAAGTCCCAAGGGGAGGGCAGCCCAGCTGACACGATTCTGGCCAAGCCACCCACGACTGAGGTACGACGAGTCTATGCACGCTGTGAGTCACTTAGGGGCTGAATATTCCCTTCTTACTTGATATGAGCGGATCTTGCTTGCGCAAGTTGCAGATGAGGGGGGGGGAATGTGTTACTGTACGTTACACATCTTCCCACACCCTCCTCGGCCCAAACTACATGCCTTTTCCCACTCTTCTCTCGCTTCTCTCCTCTCCACCTCCCCAGGTCAACTTTGCCAAGGCCCCCAAGGCGTTGAGCAAGGCGCAGCAGAAGGGAGTGGCACGATTCGTGCCCAACCCAGAGGCATACTGGGGCCCCAAGCCACGTGCTGGGAGGAAGGACGCCACTGCCATGGCTGTGCTGGCACGGGAAGAAGGCGCGGTGGGGAAGGAGCAGGCTGGGCAGGCGGATGGGAAAGGGGATGAGATGGCCGAGTGATGTGGCGCTTATGCGGCACTTGTGCGTCACAAGCTGTCACCAGGAGTGATGGTTTGAAATCATGGCTTGTGATGGGGTATTGATGATTGGGAGCTGGCTCTCCTGTTACTGGATTTCTGCCCAGCAGTCTATTTCCTGATTTCAATGGTGTGCAACCTGTCCCATACACTAGTATCTTCAATACATGCGGCATTCATCTGTTGTCTAGAGGACAGACGAGTCGAACAGAGGATTGAAGCCTCCATCTTCTGTATACTTGGATTGAATCTCCTGGACAAACAAGCATTGTATAAGTGATATATAGATTCCATTACCATAACAGCATATGTATTCCAAACCGAGTCCACCGTGAGTCTACGCGTTGGCAATGATCTCATGCACCAGGTCGCTGATCGTGACATCCTCTGACCGCGCAGCCAGCTTCATGGCCACCTGCTTCTGCGCATCCATGCCAAATGACAGCCGCACCAGCGCCGACACATCCCCCGGGAACGTCCCGGCGAGCAGGCACTGGTGCGAGCGCGCGTTGGAGGGCACGTTCTCACTACTTTCGCACGGCTGCATGCCCAGAATGGTGATGACTGCCTCTACTGCCTCCTGCAGGCTGTCTCGCACGCCCAACCCGTACTCATCCACACGCTCCAGAGATGGGTCGATGGCCTCCCATGCTGCTCTGAAGTTGGGCACACTCAGCTTCCGCACATAGTCGGCTGATGACACCTGTAGAAGCAGAGAGGGAGAGTTGGAACGGGGAGAGGGAGGTGGAGGGAAGATTAGGGGACACTGATGGAGTTGCACGAGGAGAGATATTGCGGCTGGAAGTCCACTGTGACTCTATGTAATCATAGAGTGGTGTGACCTGAGACTCCAGTCAGTGGTGTGACCTGAGACTGGTATGGCCTGAGACTGCAGACAATCAAAGCGATACAGCCCATCCAACCACATTGCCAACTCACCTCGAGGTCTTCCAGCTGGTACTCGTCCTCGTAACCCTCCTCCTCGGCATCGCCCGTGTTGGGGTCCACCTCGACCACCTTGAACTTCATGATGTTCGTGATCTTGCCCAGCGTCAGCGCGCCCTCTGGCTTCGACAGTGCCACAAACGTCTGCCCAGTCACGCCATATGCCATGCTCTTGAGCGGAATGGTCGCCACCTCCTCGAACTCCTCTGCCTCTGCCAGGTCCATGAGCACGGTGACCTGCGAGGATGCGACACAGAAGGATGGACACAAGAAAGTGGAAACTCGATCAATGAAGGCAGACGAGGAGGTGTAGCCTGCAGGGAATGAGATGAGGTCAGGAGGTCCTCTTGTTGGTCGCAGCTGCAGGAGATGATTAGCAGAGCATGGCAGAAACAAAATTCTTTGGGCGAACCAGAGGTGGTTCCATACGTGGGGAATGAGGGGGAAAGGCAAGAGTAGCACGGCGCGGCGCGGCACTCACATCCTGCAGCATCTGTTCGGCGATGGTGTTGGTGCAGTTGAACTGGAAGACCATGTGTGCGGGGAACACGTGCTTCACCACGTTCACACTGTACTCCGTCTCCGCCTCCGTCAGCTCCACTGGCGCTGATGACTGGTGCCAAACGGGAAGAGGGAAGAGGAGGAGGGGAGGGGAGAGAGGTTGCGCGTATGGGGCAGGGCGAAGGGGAGGAGAAGGGGTTGGGGGAGGAGACATCGAAGGGTCGAATGTGCTTGAGGCATGAAAAGGCATTCCTGGACAGCTGGGAAGCAGCATACACAGCATGACATCCTGCCCGTGTGCCCATGCAACGCCCCCTCCTCCCGCTTGATGCAACCTGCCATCGCACCTTGAACAGCTTGCCAAAGGTGGCAAACTCGGGGATGGAGTTGAGGAGCTTCTCATACGCCTCTGACGCCGACGCACCACCCCCAGCCGCCTTGGCGGCTGCTGCCTCCTTGGCGGCCTTCTTGGCGCCCGCCTTGGCGGGAGGCAGCCCCTTCACCTCCTTAGGCACGCTGTCGATGTCAAACGCTGCCTCGCTCGGCTCCTGGTGCGGGGAGGAACGGACAATGAGGCTTGCCAAAAATTCAGCAAGCACACGGTGACTACATGCAAACATGTGCACTAATTCAACCATGTAAATCCCCCTTTCCACAGCCTCCACACACACACTTTGACTTGAACGAACTATTCTGGAGAAACACAGTAGAGGATGATCCAGCGATCCCAGAGCGACTCACATAGTGCTTGAGCGCAGTCTCGAGGTTGACAAGCGGCACATCGAGGGCCTCCAGCATGAAGTCGCTGGCGCCACTGGCTGCCACCGACTCCTGCCCGTCGCCCCCCAGCACGTTCAGGTACAGCGTTGCTCGATCCCGCACCTGACAGGGGTTCAAAAACGGATGGAGCAGGTATGACGTTAGTACCTCCAGAGTGAGGAGATTTACGAAGATGGGAATAGGTGTGGAAGAGCTTGAGGCTTATGATGGGGTGCCAGAGGAGGCAAGGAGACCAGGAGACAGAGGTGCACATGCAGGGTTCACAACACTTGTGGCGTGGTTTGAAGTGAATGTGGCATAATGCAAAAGTTAGTTGGCACTGTGCATCTCCTTCACCTCATCATCGTTGTCATACAGACAGCGGCGCAGGAGAGTGACAATCCGAGGCTGCATGACAACAAATGGAGAGGAAGAAATGGTGGAGGAGCAGATGACCCATGAGTGAATGGTGAAAGACATTTGACTGCTGCAGTCACAGTAAAAGGAGAACTTCGACAGAGTGCACAGGAATCTCACTCAGGCAAATCTGCCCCCAGCTCATTTATACCCACGCCTCCCCCAGTCCAAAATCCCAACCCACACTCAGACACTCCACCCGTTCCCCGACCTTCACAACAGCTCCCCAACCCCTCTCCCCCCCTCTCCCCCTAACTGTACAACCAAGACCCACCCGAAGGGCTTCCACTTGCGCGCCGAACTTGGCAAGGGTGCTGACGGCGCTGGCCCTGACAGTGGCGTTCTCGAGGATGACGCGGTTGTAGATGAAGCGGATGTACCGCGCCGGCTCTGGCGTCTTGGGACCCTCGTTGCCCAGCAGGTGCAGAATCTGCCAAGTGTAGGTGATAGAGAAGCCAAGGTCCCAAGGAGGAATTGCAGAGGGATTCAGAAGAGAGTTAGCAGATGAATTACAGGGATGCGGATAAGGAATAAGATGTTCTGAATCAGCAGGAAATAAGGGGGAGGAAGGTGTTCCGGAAAGTTGATAGTTGTGGAGCCCCTCATTTTGCAAAAGAAGACGCTATTGCAGGTCTCGCGGGAAACAGCAAGAAGAAACAGGATATGAGACCTAGTTAGGTTGACTGCAGCTGTCAGGGCAAAACGAAAGGACAGGAACTTAGATAAGCAGTGCATGGAACTCAATCTACCTGCGAGGAGAGGTAGGTGAACTCGCAGTCCTCAATGAACTCGCAGAGGTGTGAGAGGCCAATCTCCTTGGCGTCAGGGATCTCCCGGATGAGAATGAGGATAGAGTCCACGATTGCCTTCTTGTACTCGAACCCACCCTCCTCACGCAAGATACCACTCAGGAAGTTCATGCTGCGAACAAAAAACAAAGGGAGAAAGCACTGTGGTGAGTGCATGCTCATGCATACAATTTCACTGCGACTGCAGTTTTCCCAAACGCAATCACAGTCTGAAGAAACAAATGCGGAGCTGCTGGGCAAAGGGTAAACTGAAGCGATGAGATGAGGATAAATTGATAAAACGAAACTTGACTCACAGGACACGGTATTTCTGGGGGTATTTGAGGCAGAGAGAGCGAATGGCCTCCACGACCACGATCTTGAACTCATCAGCAATATCCGACATGAAGTTGGTGATCTGCTTCATCAGCCGGTCCACGCTCGCCTCATTCCCCGTCTTGAGCAGCGTCGTGATCGCGAGCGTCGCAATGCTCCGGTTCGGGTCTGAAATCAGCGTCTCCATGTCAATGTTGCAGTTGGTAACCGCCTGCGGGTGCGCCATGGCGACCTTGTTGAGCGTGCGGATGGCGGCAAAGCGCAGCACGGGCTTGGGCGAGGAGAGGAACATCTGGAGCACTGTGATGGCGGGGGTGAGCTCGCGGCCGGTGATGTCGGTGAGCTCCGTCATGGCGCGCGCTGCCTCAAGCATCACCATGTCCGCCCGCTGCCGCAGACAGCTCTCCAGGAACTCGAAGAAGGGGCGCGCGTTGTTGTTGTTGGGACCCATCTCCTCGATCACCTGGGATGGAATGCACATACGCCAATACACACAACACGTGTTTTGCAGAAGCAATGTAGCGAATGCATTTGGGTCATCTGCAACAGATCGCGTACATGGTCGTTGCAATAGCTGGCAACAAGACGCAGCCTGCATGCTAGTCAGGGAACGAATTTGGCAGTAGTGGAGGTTACCTGGGAGGTGTAGCGCACAAGCAGGCACTGTGCAAGCGGCGAGCGCACAGCACCTCGCACGAGGCTGGTTACCAGCTTGCTGATGGCCAGACGGTCGCTCTGCCGTATCTGTTCAAAAGAAGATCCAAATTGAATCAGACAAGACAGCAAGGAGGAGGGAAACATTTGAGAGAAGAAGTAGAGCAGGCGGCAGTACAGAGTGGGTGGGTAGAGAGCAGGGAGAGATAGAGCAGCGTAGACACTGGTACAAGGGAAGGCTGACCTGGTGAAGGAGAGCGAGGGCATGGAACTGCACGAGCGGCGACTTGGAATGCACCGCCTCTTGAATCTCATTGCTCCATCTCCGCACAATGTCCGGATTCGTCTGTGCAACACCACCACCCAACACAAGTTGTGAAATTAAGCACCTTGGCGCTTATCAATGATAACAATCACTCCTGTCCTGACGCTCTCTTCACCAGCATGAGTATAGCCGTCACCAGCAACAATCAGTTACCTTGAGAAGGTGGAAGCCGCTGACCAGAGCAGCACTGGCAACGACAGGGTTCTTATCCACAACCGCTTGCTTCAGATAACGCTCAATCTGGCCCAGCAGGCCTCCGTCTGTGATGCGACAGAGCACACGGATGGCATTTGCTCTGTACAGGTCCGTCTTGCTGTTCATGTCCTTCATCAGGGAGCTTGTCACGATGATGACCTGCACGCATGGAGAGGATTTACTTGCTGACGATGATTGCGCTACATCTTGAAACGGTAGAATGATTTCCGTGTGTAATGGAATCTATGTTGGTGTAAGAAGTGACACGAATCCAGATTAATACCTCGTCGGATGATGGGGAGATCTCTTTGATCATGAGGTAGAGAAATCGCCGAAGGCCAATGTCGTTTGATTGAAAGAGCTTGGTGACGGAAAAGAAGACCTCCGTCGCTTCCGTCTGCAACTCAACGAGTGAAAGTTAAGCGATACATAATGGTAAAAAGTCCTCTATATTAAACATTCACTTTCTCAGGATCTGTTCTGGGCCACCAACGGCAGAAAAGGCTCCCTCACCTTTGTGAAAGTTTCGCCTTGATTGAGCAAATAGAGCAGCTTGGTGATAACCTGCAACAGCATAAGAACGAGATTCAGATCCGTGCCGATGGATCGTGAAAAAAGGGGTCTAGAACGAGCGTACTGCCAAACGCCTGGCAAACATAAGTGAGAGATAGCATGCCGAATGAGGTACATCATGCCGACCTGTGCGCATCTCCGGGGATCCAGCTGCGGGTCATTGAATACACGAGCTTCCTGTAGAACGGAGCCCTTCTCGATCCCGAAAAACGGCGAGTACTCGACTGCATTCAGACAGAGAGATTACGATAAAGCTTCTCTCTCCCAAATTCGGATGTGGTGGATTTCGAAAAACTACTCACACAACCTCGCTGCGCAGGAGACTAAATGTAAAGTGGCACTCACACTCTCCGTCAAAATCTTCGTCCTTCTTCATCCCTGGTGGCAACAACGCCATCTTGCTTGAACGATGAATATGCCGAGCTAACACAAGCAACCGGATTCACAATCAAATAGGCGGACAGAAGCTAAGTAGAAGATGCAGCCGCACTTTTCGCGATCGATCAACGAGGTATGCCTTCAGCCAGAAACCACTTGTTAGGGCAGACCAGCTTCAAAGTGCGAGGCGAGTGAGTCCGTTCCAGTGGTTGCTACCGAAATGGATCAGGATCCGAGATGGTGGGGAATGGGGGAGATTCCCGCGAAACTAACTGCTGCGATCCTCACAGATAAGTCCTGACCCAACCGTTTACCATATCTTCACAATACAGATAAGTATGCAAAGCGAAATGCATAACAAATTACATCCTACAGAGGTGGTCTCTCAACTTCAATGTTTCCGTACAGAGTTCCTAGAATCTTTTCCTATGTCCACAATGAAGGCTTGAATGGAGTCACATTCCAGTGTAACATAGTAAACTAGGGTTGGCAAACCACTTCTGACAGTAGCCTTATGGTCCTCAGTGGTCCGAGTCACGGCTGTAGAAGGCATCCAGGATCTTGGGTGATACACGACGAAGCATCTCACGGGGGAAGATGCGCAGAAGGGTCCATGCGAGATCCAGAGACTGGTAGATGTCACGAGCATCGTAGGCTCCCTGGGTGACGAATCTGTGCTCGAACTTGTCCAGGAACTCCAAGTAAAGCTGAAAGTCAGATGCACAAATTGAAGTGGACAAGGTCAGGGCTCATGAGTGTGAACAATACCCTGGGCATTGCACAAGATAGGTAGATGGGGTATTGCTTTTTTTCACAGCAGAACCAGGCAGGACTACCACACATACCAGATCTTCAGATGACAAAGCTTCTTCTCCAACAACAGCCTTCATGGCTTGCACATCACGACCAATGGCGTAGTTGGCATAGAGCTGAATAGACCGAACACATAGTTAGAGCAGAATGAGACTTTAGAAGCCCAAGCTTGAGAAAAGGTGACGGCAAGCTGCCGGTGGAGTTGCTACAGAAAATACAGACCTGATTGGAGACATCACCATGATCCTTGCGGGTCATCCCTTCTCCAATAGCACTCTGGATGACGGGATGAAGGAGGCAGGCAAGTTGACCATGCAGCAGGACGAAGGAGACATGGACGTATTTATACAAGCCAATGGACAAGAACTTGATGATGCATGCATGAAGCAAATCAAATGCATACCTTCATAAGACGAGACAGAGACGGCAACACGTTGATCGGAGGATAAATCTGCGCACGAAAAAACAGCCGTGAAGGATGTTAAGAATACATCACCGGCAAGACAAGGTCAAACAGGAATGTCATCAGAGCACGTCAAACCTCTTACCTGTCTGTTGTGCAGCTGTCTGTCAATGTAGATTTGTCCCTCCGTAATGTAACCAGTAAGATCGGGGATAGGGTGAGTGATATCTGCAACACAAACATAACCCACATCCTCATACACAGTGAGCTAACCATCACGGGCCTATGCAAGTTTTCAGCCATGATCAGTCCCTGGTTAATGTCTGATAAACACTATGTGAGCACAGCCATGTGCATGTCAGGAATTTTACTCGTTTCCTTGACCCTGTGAACACATCAACATACACCCTCATCAGTACATACCGTCATTAGGCATGGTCAGAATAGGAATCTGGGTGATGGAGCCCTTGCGACCCTCAATACGCCCAGCACGCTCATAAATGGTCGCAAGATCAGTGTACATGTAACCAGGGTAACCACGACGCCCAGGCACTTCCTCACGCGCAGCAGAAACCTGGCAAATAATATTTGCATATTTTAAAAAAGGGACAAACGTCGGGTATCAGTGAGAGGAGCAAAAAGTATATGGAACTGGTCATGAGTGAAGGAAGAGGTGAACGGGACACAGGTAACAGGCGTAATAGGAAATGTTTCAACAGGTGAACAACAAACGGGAGTAGCGAATACCGTAGCAGAGCGTGGAGGTAGGGAGCTAAAAAGCGCACCTCACGAAGCGCATCAGCGTATGAACTCATGTCCGTCAAGATCACAAGCACGTGCTTCCCACACTCGTAGGCAAGGTACTCAGCGGTTGTAAGCGCAATACGAGGAGTAATAATGCGCTCAATGGTAGGGTCGTTGGCCTGCGAAGTGGAAACAAACGAGGTGAGATTTTATCATGCTTGAAAAAAAAAAAGTGCAACAACAAACAATGACGACTTTTACCAGGTTGAGGAAAAGCGTCACACGCTCCATGGAGCCATTCTCTTCGAAGTCTCGCTTGAAGAACGCAGCAGTCTCCATGTTAACTCCCATAGCGGCGAACACAATGGCGAAGTTATCTTCCTCATCGTCCTGGGACAAGGCGTAAGAAACAGTATAAGAACTTGACAATCAAGAATTCATGAAAGGAAGTGCACAAAGTTTGTCAGAATGGTTACCTTCAGCAGATCATCCTTCTTCTCCAACGGCTTCACAAGGCCTGCTTGCCGACAAATCTGTGCAGCAATTTCATTGTGTGGAAGACCAGCGGCGGAAAAGAGGGGAATCTTTTGTCCGCGAGCGATCGAGTTCATGACGTCGATGGTCGAAATACCCGTCTGGATCATTTCTTCGGGATATGTTCGCTCACTGGGGTTGATGGAACTGCCTGCATGTTACACGCAGAGGTTCAGATCAACTTCGTCTGTGACATGAGGCCAGATCGAGGCGCATTGAAGTATGATACTCACCGGCAATGTCGAGATATGCTTCGGCAAGAATGGGAGGCCCATCATCAATGGGTTTGCCAGATCCGTTGAAAATGCGACCAAGCATGTCGATGGACACGGGCGTTTTCAACACCTGTTTCGACGATAGTTGACATGACCACGATCAGTACCTCAGACACCTAAATCACTATCCAGCCTTTCAAAAGTCATAAGTTCAAGTCACCTCGCCAGTGAACTCGACTGTAGTATGCTTGTTATCAATGCCAGAGGTCCCCTCGAAGACCTGCAGAAATGACAAGTCTAACAAAGTCAAACATTTATTTGAAGGAAAATGCTGGTCTGGTAAATGAAGCGCCGAGACAACACCTGAACAACGGCTTTGTCTCCATCGATCTCAAGAACTTGACCTCGTCTAATCTCTCCATCCGCGAGCCTCAAGTTGACGATCTCCTGGAACTTGGGACCCTGCGGACAACGAGATCCAGCGAGGCACCAAGATCCGTCGATAAGCTGAACAGTTTCGTGCATACGTCACCGCGAAACGGAAAAGAAAACTAGACTGAAGCGTACCTTCACTTTTTCCAAAATGACCAAGGGACCAGCGACACCAGACACGGTTCGATACTCTGTGCAGTTGCGAGAAGAAGAACAGGAATAGACAGTTAGAAAATCATATGTTGAAGTTTAAGAACGTGATCCAATGAACCAGAATAAGAACCCGATCCTAATGCGACCCGAATCTCAAAACGGAAATGCCTACTCCGACATGTCTTGGGAACCGAACTAAGGCTAGAAAAAAATCAACAAGACCTACCTAGGAACGGTTCGCACACATAGTCTCGGCTAAGCGCCTTTAGATGCTCTTGGACTTCAGCCATGGTCCCCATCGTTGCTATTCAGGATTACGCAGACTAAGGGGAAAAGGAGCCAAGTGCAGGAGCAGCAGCTGTGCGTGGGAAGGAACAGCACAGAATGAGTAAGGGATTTCTCGAATCAACTGAAATGCCTGGATGTCTCGTTGGTCAGTCTGCTGCGCTGCACCACTAGCCCTGCTGTCGTGAAGCATTAGCAGTGTCGCGAAAAGGGCGAATGGCAAGTTACAAAACGCCAGAATATGATTGACAAGATCGTGAGTGAAAATGCTCTCATTGAGAGTTGAACTCAAGACCTCCCGCTTACTAAACGGGTGCTCTAACCAACTGAGCTATGAGAGCACGACGGTAGCATCAAATAATACAGATTATTTGTGTTAATCAACGGATTTTCACAGCTGCACAAGGATGCCCCTGCCCTATTAGAATCCACGCAAGAAGCATGACAGAAGGGTGTTGCAAACATATTGCTGCAAGAAACCAACCATTCGATTGCCCTTCCTATTGGTAATCGTCAACCAATCTCATTTGTGTTGGTCGTTGTGCCAAGGTGTGTTCTATCACGAGGCATTGAGGGTGGTCTGAATGGTTGATCGCTCTTTCGCTGTAAGCTCCTGTTGGTGAACGAGGGAGGTAGAAGGGAGTCAAGGGTGTGTTTGAGTAGTGACCAGGCATGGACAAATTACTACCAACTGGGTACGTTCAACATATGAACGAGAAACCGAGGTGGAAAGCAAATGCCTCCTGGGAAGGCCTGGGCAGAGGAACAAATGCTCCTGAGAAAATGCTTGGTTTGAACATTCACCTGGGAAAGCGTATGGAAGAGACTTGGATCTTGAGTTGCCAGCTGTCTGATGACGTCAGCAATTAGTACAGGCAGGTTGATCTGGGAGGTGCAGGCGTAACGGAAGGAGATTGGGGAGGGGGGACAGAGAGGAGAGGGAGTGGTTGAGCAAACATGTGAGTGGCTGAAAAAACGAGAGAAGAGCGAGTGAGTGAGCGAGTGAGTGCATGGGTGTGAGTGAATTGGGAAGAGAGAAGCGGAGTGGAGAGGGGCACGAGTAGCATAGTGGGTGAGCGAACATACCTGGTTGAGTGGGTCGTCCTGAGCATCGTCGTCGTCATCCCCTGCATCCTCACCAAACTGCCTCAGCGCATGCATGGACAGAAGCAGTGGGAGAGGAATGTGAGCATCGGCATGGGCACACAGGTGGGGGGAGCGAGAAGAACTCAACAAAATCATGGCGCTTTACAAAGGTCTAAAAAACACCCTGCAACCCACCCGGCCTCGACGCCACCCACCCCAAAGGCCTACCGTGCCCGTCCCAACACACCTCTTGGTCCAGCAGGTGGGAGAAGAGCTCAGCTGAAGCAAACACTGGTGGCAGGCCTGCATCCAGCCCCTCCCTTCCCTTGCCGTGCCCCCCCTCCTCCTCACTTCCCTCCTCGTCCTCCTCGTCTATGTCTCCATCCTGCTGGCAGGAAAGCAGAAAAAAATCGAAAGAGGTTCCACCAAGGAGGAACATACAGCCTTAGTTGGGAAGGTGGGAGACGTTGGTTTGGATTCAATGGCAGCATGCCTTCATGGTGTGAAGAACATTCTCACCTCGCTGCCCCTCTGCTTGTCACACACCCACTTACCGTCGCAACACCTCTGCTCGCTTGCCTCTTCTAACCAGACAATGTGGTGTATAACAAAATGCCTCATGTTTGGGGCTCCTCCGAAGGGCATTCTCACCTTCTTCCCCCCTCTCCCGGTCAGTCCCCAAAGCTTACCCCTCTCAATGCATCTGCCTGCTCGCCCTCCTCCTTTGCCTCCAGCAACACTCCCGCCAGCAGTGACAGGCCCTAGGAGCGTGAGGGATGGGGGAATGGACAGTGATGACAAGGAGTGAGAAGTGGTGACAGGGGCGGTGAGGAGGAGAAAAACGCGGTGAAATGAGGACGTGCGGTTTAAAGGACATAGTATCTTGGCCCTTCCATACCATTTGATGACAAGGACTGTGTGAGAGGACATTCTCACCTTGGCTGGAAACGCCATTTCTGTCCACTTGTCCGCCACCACTCGTGCTCGCGACCGAGTCACAACGCCTTTGGACGTCTGGAGGAGGGAAGGAAGAAATGAGGAAAGGGAAACATGGTTCAAGTTGAATGCACCTCAACATCAGACCAATCCACAACAACACCCTTAGACGTCTGCAAGTTAGGAGAAGAGAAGAAACAACGGGTTGCAAACAGGGGTTGATGAGGCATAAAACACAGCTCACCGCCACCAGCCGGCCCTGCATGGGCCCTTGCAGGAAAAGTCGAGTTTTGAGTCGACTAAAAAATTACAACACAGCTCACCGCCACCAGCCGGCCCTGCACGGGCACTTGCAGGAGGCGCGGGTCCCGTGAGGCCAGCAGCAGCGCCAGCGCTGCTGACGCCACCTTGCTGTGATACACCCCGTGTATGTCCCCTGAGGATGGTGTGGTGGGCGACAGGGGGGCGGTGGTTCACACAGGCGGGTGTTGGCAGCAAGACGGCAGCAACGGGTTGGGTGACAAGGAAGGAATGCAGAAGTGGGCATGGTTGGAAGAAGGGGCAGTAACTGGATGGGTGGAGGAGGCAATGATAGGTAGACGGAGTTACTGGGTGAGTAAAGGCAACTACTGGTTGGGTAGAGGAGGCAAAAACTGGAAAACATAGGGGTATTGACAGGGGGAAAAAGGGGCACTGACTGTGGTACATGGCCCATTCGGAGAGCAGGAAGTGGAGGGCCGATGGGTGGCTGGGCAGGGGCATCGATGAGAGCAGATCTAGCAGTGGGCGCACGTCCGGTGATGCCCAGTGCACCTGGGGTGGGGTGGGGATGGGAGTAATTTTGAGTCGACTCAAAGATCCACTTGGGAGTCGCAAAAGTGGAGGGCTGGCGGCTGGCTGGGCGAGGGCAGGGGCATCGACGAGAGCAGGTATAGCAGCAGGTCTAACACACGTCTGGTGATGCCCAGTGCACCTGGGATGGGGGCGGGAGAAGAAGAGGAGTTAGAAGGGCATGCCATAGGAAATTAAGCAATGAAGCTGGTAGCAAGAACAAGACAAGAAGAAAGCACAGCCGTGCATCCATACCTACCAGGGATGCACTACAGTCACATCCACCTACCAGTCGAGCAAAGACCAGTAGAAGCGAGACAGAGAGTGAAGGCATGTGCTTGGCGGCCATGCGGTGCACGATGGCCGCCACCGGCGCCTGCAATGCACCAACCAGTCAAAATCGCACTGCCGCACCCACCAGCCTGGCAGTCCCCCACACACTTCTCTACTACTGCACCCACCACCCACACACCGTGCCTCCACCCACGAACCACACACTGCAGTCACATCCACCTACCAGTCGAGCAAAGACCAGTAGAAGCGAGACGGAGAGCGAGGGCATGCGCTTGGCAGCCATGCGGTGCACGATGGCCGCCACCAGCGCCTGCAGGTGTGGTGCCATGCGCGAGGGCACGCGGCGGATCAGCTGCACCAACAGTGGCCCCACAAAGAGGGATGCTGACGGCTCCAGCTGTGGGCTTAGAAGCCTTGTGATGGGTGCGGGGAGAGCGAGGGAGAAGGAGGGAGAGGGAAAGGGAGGGAGAGGGAAAGGGAGGGAGAGGGAAAGGGAGGGAGAGGGAAAGGGAGGGAGAGGGAAAGGGAGGGAGAGGGAAAGGGAGGGAGAGGGAAAGGGAAAGGGATGAAATGGCATGAGCAGGCTACGGATGAGCTGCATGAGGGTGAGTGCATTAGCAGCAATCCTTGCATGCCATGCCGCCATCCCCGCCACTCACTTGGCGGCAGCATCGAGCAGGGTCTTCTAAGTGCCATCAGGGTCAGCGCTGCCCGCCACCAGCTCCTCCCCTCCCTAGACTGTACCAACCCCCCTCCCCCCACAAATTAATACCGCACAGCCAACCCCAGCACTCACTTGGCGGCAGCATCGAGCAGGGTCTTCATGGTGGCATCGGGGTCAGCACTGCCCGCCACCAGCTCCTCCCCTCCCTTGCGCACAAACATGGCCAGCGCCTCCGCCCCGTTCTGCAGCTCCGTGTGATCGTCTGACTGCAGCACCACTGCTGCTAGCGGTGCAAACAGCGCATCGAACACTGGCCGCACCAGCGGTGGGGGGGTGCGCTGCAGGAAGCAGGTTGGGAGGGGGGCGGGCCCGGGGGGGAAGAGGGTTAGTCAACTCAAAGGTCAAACATGGCCAGTGTTCCGTTCCGTTCTGCAGCTCCGTGTGATTGTCTGACTGCAGCACCACGGCTGCTGGTGGGGCGAACAGGGCATCAAACACTGGGCGGACATGCGGTTGGGGGTTGCGCTGCAGGCAGCAGGTTGGGTGGGGGAGAGGGCAGAGGTTGGGTTAGTACTCGAAGATGGGACACGGCCAGCGCCTCCGCTCCGTTCTGCAGCTCCGTGTGATCGAGGCTGGAAATACATTGACCACTGGTTGTGTTCCAAGCGTTCCTTGCAAGCTCACACCGATTCTTGAACTGCCTGTCTTTGTGGCACCAGCAGTCTTACCTTGAGAAGCATTGTCAGCAGCTCCATGCCTCCTGCCACCAAACCGTTGGGTTGCTCCTCTGGCTGCTCCCCACCCCTCCCCACCTCTCACCATTCACACCGACACACATATGCACACACCCACATGCACATGCACACACTCGTATGCACACACCATGTGTGTTCACACATACCCATCAAATGCACATACAAGCCGACCATGCAAGCAACTAACCCAAGTCCCCCACACTCACACACACACACAGACACAAGAGCACAGACACAAGAGCAGACACAAGAGCAGACACAAAAGCACAGACACAGAAGCACAGACAGCTCCCATGAGAATCAAATGTCATAACATCGTTATTCTTGCCGAATACTTCAAATAGCATAGCATAAAGTTCTGGTTTTTTTCCGCAGCAGCAGCAGTGCTCTGTATGCTGCTCGTTGCACAGAGCTGGCTGCTCCAGTGCTGAGATATTTGGAATATCTGCTTGTGTAGCATTTCTGAATCACAAATGGGTTTCGACAGAGATGCGAAAGGCGGCAGACGACGTAAACTTGCAGTAGATAGAAGAGCTTTTGTGATTCGATGATGGGGGAGATGACGTTACCTTGGAGAAAATGGTGGAGAGAGGGGGGATGGCTTTGCGCAAAATGGAGTCGATGCAGGCAGGGAGGTCGGCCATGGCCTCGAGGGCGTCACTGGTATCAGAGCTGATCACTGGGTCGTTCACGTGCTCCGCCCATATGCCCAGCAGCGCCGATGTTACCACCGGCTCCATCTGTGCTGTCACCTCCGCGTCTGATTGGCCGGGATGAAAGAGGGAGGTGGCGGATGGTTTGTGAAGGGAGACGCATGGCATGGGTCGGCATGGTAGCCTTGGTACAACACGGCATGGCAGACAGGCATGGTGGACATGGGCATGGCGCATGGCAGTACATGGCATGGCAGTGCAAGGGTCACCTGAACGGACGACAGCAGTGAGCAGCTCAAGGGCGAGATGAAGCGTGTCATCCGATACCTGGTGTGCGGGCGGGGGTGAGGGGGCCGAGGGGAAGGTTGGAGGCAGCAAGTGGGTGGGGTGGAGACAACAGGATGGGAAAGGCGGAGGGAGTGGACTGCAGCCAGGGGCGGAAAATGGGGAGTGGTCTCTGGCAGCTGGTGTTGTGTGCGAGTGAGTATTTCTTAAGGGTAATGAACGGAGGAATGTCAGGTCTGATGAGAGCTATGTTCAGAGAAGACAAGGCCAGCATGCATGTCTCACACCAGGGACTAAAACGTATGATCCACTGCTGGGGATCACCATTTTCTCACATGGGACAGCTCAGCACCTGTTCCTCACCTTGGCAGCATGTGTATGTGTGTGGCGCACCTCGGGCAGCATGGGGCGCACCTCGGGCAGCATGGGGCGCACCTCAAGCAGCATGTGGCTCACCTCGGGCAGCATGTGGCTCACCTCGGGCAGCATGTGGCTCACCTCGGGCAGCATGTGGCTGATGCCGGTGTAGATGGCGGGCAGCACGGGCCTGAGGTCCTCCGCTTGCATGTTGGGCGCCAGGCGCGACAGCGCTCGGCACGCCCCTATGCGGATCACCAGCGGCCTGTGTGTGAGGGGGTGCATGGGCGTGAACGACAGAGAGAAGGGATGAAGGGGACATGGGATGAAAAGACGTGTTGGGCGCCAGGCGCGACAGCGCTCGGCATGCGCCTATGCGGATCACCAGCGGCCTGCATGCATGCATGGTGGCGGTATGGAGGAGCACAGGGAGGGGAGATGGCATGAAAGACATGTTGGGCGCCAGGCGTGATAGTGCTCTGCATGCTCCTATGCGGATCACCAGCGGCCTGCATGCATGCATGGTGGCGGTATGGAGGAGCACAGGGAGGGGAGATGGCATGAAAGACATGTTGGGCGCCAGGCGTGATAGTGCTCTGCATGCTCCTATGCGGATCACCAGCGGCCTGCATGCATGCATGGTGGCGGTATGGAGGAGCACAGGGAGGGGAGATGGCATGAAAGACATGTTGGGCGCCAGGCGTGATAGCGCTCTGCATGCTCCTATGCGAATCACCAGCAGCCTGCATTCACAGGGGGGAGGGGTTGGTGGGGGAGAGGGAGGAGGAAGCTTAGATGGGGAGAAGTGACGGGTTGGGGACATGGGATGAACAGACATGTGACAGACAGCACTCTGCACGTCCCTACGCGGATCATGGAAACATGCAGCATCCATATGCAGCATCACCTGCCAGTCCTACCATTATGCTCGTGCTGCTGTCACAGGCATGCCGTCCATCCACGGCACACCATGTCATTCCAACTCCACGCAACGGCACGCCACCCATACCATCTCATCCCTTCATGCCATCCCATGCCATGCCATCCCATCCCATCCCATGCCATGCCATCCCATCCCATCCCATCCCTGTTCATACCGTGACATCCTACCCCACCATTACCATGCCATTCCATCTCCCTACTATCTCCCCATCCAAGTAGCCGCACCTGTCCTGGCTGAGAGCCTCTGCAGCCACGCGCAGCAGCTGCACCTTCTTCTCTGTCGGTGCCTGATGGCCCACCACACGCACACGGAGGGGAGAGAAAAAGTCCCTTAGGCTGAGTAACATGCACAGGGGTGAGGGCTATGAATGCAGGATTGTAAGGGGATTGCAAGAGATCCAAAGTGAAGAGTCCATACTCCATAGTGGATAAGCATTTCAAAGGCGAACCTTCCCAGCCGCCCAGATTGAGTGGCATATCACATCCTATTTGCCTTGGGCCGCTCGTTACAAGCACATGCACTCACGTCAGAGGCGAACCTAGCAGCAGCCCAGAGACAGCGACAATAGAGGAAGGGGAAGTTGACTGCTCCATCTGTTGGGAAGTGGCGCAGAGAGGGAAGGGGAAGAGGGAGAGCAAGGGTGTGGGGAGAAGAAGAGGAAAGGGAGGTTGTTAACCTCTGCCCTGTTTGGTGAAACGGTGCTGTTACATGGCTGGTTACAGGACAAAGTCACTCAGCTGGCTGGTCCCATGTCATCTCGCATGTACATCAGAAAAACCCCTTGAAATGACTGCAAAATGAGTTTTACATGGCCAAGATGAGCATCAGCAGAGGCAGCTAATCCATGGATAAAATACATACAGACCGAATCACTCACTTGGGCCCAGATCATGCAGGAGCAGAGCATCGAGGAAGGCCTTTGAGTCAAACACTGGCTTGCCCTCCATCTGATGTGCCCCATGTGGATGGTGTAGTGCAGATGAGGACATGCAGGGATGCGGGCAAGTGGGAGTGCAGGCAAATGTGCACACATGCAATTGAAGGCATTTGAGTCAAACACTGGCTTGCCCTCCATCTGATGTGCCCCATACGATTGGTGTATTAGCACATGTGGGCTGGACATGCAGGGATGCGGGTGAGAGGGAGTGTTTTGAGACGTCTCAAAACAAGCCCCATACAATTGGTGTATTAGCACATGCGGACATGCAGGGATGCGGGCGAGCGGGAGTGCAGGCAGATGGGCACACATGCAGATTGAGACACGCACTTGAACATACATGCATACATTCACGCATGCACCCCGGCACGCAGACATACACAGGCAAACATGCACAAATACACAGGCACGGCACATACAAGCACATGCAAAGACGTATGCAAGAAGTCGTGTTTTGAGTCGACCTCAAAACACATTCAACCACATGCAAAGATGTATCCAAGAAGTGTTGCGCAGGATACATGCCAGGAAGGAGAGACACCCATGCATCACAATCTCTTAGCATCACAATTTCTTAGCATCACGCGCAATCACCTCGTACTGAAGAAACGTGTCGGCAACTGAACCAGCAGCAAAGATGGCTGCCTCACGCAACTGCAGGGGCGGACGTGGGGGAAAGGCAGTGGAGGGACGTGGGGGCAAGGCATTGGAGGGACGTGGGGCTGAGGCAGCGGAAGGACGTGGGGCCGAGGGAATGAAAAGAGGCCGGAGGAACCAGCGGAAACACGGAGATTTAGAACTGAAAAAAATATCTCCTTCCACCAGGCAAGCAGGCGAGTCTCACCTTCCACCAGGCAAGCAGGCGCGTCTCACCTTCCACCAGGCAAGCAGGCGCGTCTCACCTTCCACCAGGCAAGCAGGCGCGTCTCACCTTCCACCAGGCGGGAGCATGCTCTGTGGGGTTCACCACCGTGTCTCCCAGCCGCCTCTGCACCGCCGTGGATATGCCCTGCACTGCCTCATCCTTGAACTCCGCCACTAGCTCCTCCAGCAGCGCAGCAGCTGTGCGGGGAGAGAAAGGAGGTGGTAAGGTTGGGGAGAAGAAGAACAACAATCTATGCTCCTTTCTTTCCCACGGCCATGGATATGGCATGCACTGCCGCACCATAGTCTAGAACTCCACCACCAGCTCCTCCAGCAGTGAGGCAGCTGTCGGTAGGAGGAAGGGTAAGCATGACAGTGAAGGGTGTGCTTATAGTGGATGTGACTGCAATGTGAACTGACTGCAATGCATGTGGCTCTCACCGGAGGTGCGGCAGCTGATGGCCTCATCGTCCTCCTCTGAGACAAACTCGTTAGTGTCACGCTGCCACTCCTCCTCCTTCAGCGGGAGAGCACGGGGTACAAGGGAAAAGGTAAGCAGAAGAGAAACACCCACGAGGCAAGGTGTGAGGGAGAAGAACAGGTGGGCCCAAAGTGCATGCAATGTGGACGATGCGGAGAGAGAGGCAGGACAGAAAAAGAGCAGGAGGAGGCGAAATGTAATCAGGAAAGCTTTGGGTGTGAGTGAGGTAAGAAGGTACCATCTTGTAAAAGCACAGTTCTCCCGCACAGTCACACCACACCACACCACACCACTAACCTGAGTTGCGGTGATCTGCATGTAGGCTATGGCGAAGTAGACCAGCGCCTCTGTTGTACCTTGCAGCCCCTGCCATGCCATGACCACGGTGCATACAAGGTGATGAAGGTTTCATGGGAAGGTTTCATGGGAAAGTTTCATGGAAAGGTTGATGACCTTGAAAGTTTCAAGGTCATCAACGTTGTTGTGGCTTGCAGCAGCAAAAACCCAACAATGTCAAGATGTAACGAAAAAACATTCTTCGGTCGAGTCATATATCATCTTTGTTGTGCCTTTCATTGTGGGCCATGCCATGACCACGGTGTGTATAAGGTCAACGGGGTGATGTGCAAGAGTGGCTCCTAACTGCTTGACTGAAATGCAGACGAAGAGAAACGGCTTGTGGTTTGCTCTCAGATTGAAGAATGGGAACCAGAAGTTAGGGGAGGCAGAAACGAAGGCAGGACAGGCAAGAGGAAGCAGTTAAGGGAAGGCAGTGAGAAGGAAGGCAGCTAAGGAAATTCAATCAAAAGAAGACACAGAAGGCAGGTACACAAAGGCACCGAGGAAGTTACGCGGTTAGGCAGGGACTAACCTTCTGGAATCTGGAGTTGGTTGCAAGTGTCAGGAGGAACTCGAAGGCCTGCGAGGCAAACAAGTGGAAGAGGCGATGGAAAACGTCAGGGCCTGAAAATGAGCCCATAATGGCGAAAAGGTTACGGCAAGACTTTTCAGGTGCCAGGAACAGGAAGATATTCGGTTCGCAAGAGAAACACTCTTGCAATCAGCTAGCTTGAATCGCAAGACCTAGAGACCCTCACCTGAATGGCAAGCGCAGAGAGCTCGTCTGCTGCTGACTCATACCCCTCTCCTCCATCCCCACCTCCCTCTGCTGCTCCCCCTGCCCCCGCTCCTGCCTGTGCATTGTCACTGCTGGCAGCTACCCCTGCTGCCCCTGCATCCCCGGCTGCAGCAGCAGCGGGGGGCAGGAGCGGCAGTCCAGCCACCAGCAGTCGCTCATACAGAGGGATGCCTGACACATAGCTCTGCCACAGTGCTGCTAGGATGCCTGCGAGGAAAATTTAGGAGAAGGGGAAGGGGGGGCGAGATGGTGGGTGATTTGGTACTTGAAGAGTCGTCACGGAACACATACAGGGGGATACCTGACACATAGCTCCGCCATAGTGCTGCCAGTATGCCTGCGAGCCAAGGGGGGAGGAGAAGGGTGGGCGGGGGTGGGGGAGGAGGGATGAGGGGTTGTTTGAGACGTCGCAAAGTTTGTAGAAGGGGATGCCCGGCTGCATGCAGCCTTGCCACAGTGCTGAAAGGATGACACTGAGATCAGAGGAAAATGGTAGGCGGGGGTGTGGAAAGCGGGGGAGGCGACAAGACGAGGCTGGAAAAAAAATGAGGCAGGCAACAGGGTGAGCAGAGAATGGAGAGGAGGAAACGGGAGGGAGGGGAGGGTTGTTGACGGAGGGGGAAGGGGATGGGGATGTGGAAGGTTTCACGAGAGAAAAGGGAGATAGGGCGATAGGGAATGGAGGGAAGAGGTTGAGAGGGATATATACTGGGTTTATCAATACCTGGCATTGTTGATTCCAACAGCGCAGGGAAATGTTGAATGAGCTGAGTCAAGCAGCGGAGCACCTTATGAAGGGGATGGAGAGAAGGCACGCAGAAGAAGACACAAGATGAAAATTGGCAAAGCAAAGCAAACATCCTTGCTTTTCAAAATCCAAACTCTACACCCTAAACCCGAATCCCCAACGTTAACCTCCAAATCCCAACTACCAAAGCCCCGAACCCTGGCGAAAACCCCAAAATGGATCAACGATCGAACAGCAATTTCATGACAATTGCGCCAGGCATCTCAGGTCGGACACTCAGGGCAATCAAAGATTCACATGTGCTCCTGGTCTCAAGGGAAAAAATCATGCCGATGGCAGCACAGCACACGCAGTGAGTGCCTGTTCCTCCTTCGTCAAACCAATCAAAGCCGGGAAGTTTGATATGACACTGGTGCCTGCCTGCCTTTCCATTTTCCACGTCCCTCACCTCTTTCCTGATGCCCCAGTCTTGGGGGTCCTGTTGTGAGAGAGGCGAGGAGAGGATGGCAGCAAACTGCGCCACCCACGCAGGTAGCGACTCGCTGATGATTGCCTTGCTCTCCTCCTGCGGACCAAGGAAGGACGAGGAGGGTGAAGGAGAAATGGAAGGGGGGTTACAGGGGAGGGTAGCGAGAAGGTGTGCTTTGGGTACACTGAAAATGGACTCCGCCACCCATGCGGGCAGCGACTCGCTGATGATCGCCTTGCTCTCCTCCTGCGGACCAAGATGGGGGGTTGGGGGGACGGGGAGGGGGCTTGACAGAGAAGGAAAGGGGAAGGGGAGAGGCGACGGTAGCGGAGAGGTGTGTTTTGGTTTGACACAAAACCAACTGAGTTGCCCACGCAGGCAGAGACTCACTGATGATCGCCCTGCTCTCCTCCGGCACTCCAAGAGGGAAAGAGAGGGAGTGGCGGAGAAAGGGGAGTGAGGGGGGGGGGGTGGGCTCATGATGCCCAGAGTGGCCACACTGGCTCTCAGAACACTCAGGTGCGTAGCGAGTCAACTCAGGTCACAGTTCAACACTGACTCAACACTGATTACATACACGGTGGTGCAAAGACGAGGAATGGCGCACCACACCGCACCCCACCCACCTCGTACACGGTAGTCCATCCCAATGCTCCGCCACCCTCTCTCCCCCCCTCACCATATGGTGCATCCTTGCTACTCGGTAGCGTGCTGAGAGCCACTGTGGTACACGGTACATCCTCCCATTGCACCCCAACCCCCCCTCACCTGGTACACGGCGCTCATGATGCCCAGGGTGGCCACGGTGGCTCTCAGCACGCTCAGAGCGCCCCTGCGCGCCGATGGGCGGTACGCCTGGTGGATGCATGCATGCAGGGGGGATGTGGTGGCGCGGCACAGGGGGGAGTGGATGCATGCAGGCGGAATGGCATGGCGAGTGATTTTTTAGCATTCTCAAAAATCACATGCATGCAGGCGGAATGGCATGGCACAGGGAGGGGGGCAGTGGGATGCCAGCAGCAAGGTAGTTGGATTCTAAGAAATTAGGGGATTGGGAAGGAGGAGAGAAGAGAAAATGGAGGGTGATAATCAAGGGTACGGAGGGTAGGTACAGTCTACAGAGGGGATAGTGGATATTAACGGGGCTCTGTACGGGGTTCTGTAAGAGAGGCAACCCAGGTGGAGGATGGAAGGTAGACACGACACGAGGCGTGGTTGGAAGGTGAGCAACCAAGCTGCTGCTCATCTTCCAAATCCTCTGGGCTTCCTTCTGACGTCATTGGAATCTCACACATGGTCACCTGACACGTGTGGGTTGCACCTGCTGTGAGTTTCGCTTAATGTAGATTGCACATAGTGCGGGGTTTCACCTGGTGTGGGGTCGGACCCACCTGGTTGGGGTTGGAAACGATGGCGAAGATTGGGGGGGAAGAGCTTGGGCACAAGCGCAGGCAGCTGTGAACCACTCTTCAGAATTCTTACAAGTGATTCTAATAACTGGGCTAACCGTCGGACCCACCTGGTTGGGGTTGGAAACGATGGCGAAGATGGGTGGGAAGAGCTTGGGCACAAGCGCAGGCAGCTGTGCGTCATCAATCTCCTCTGCAAATAGCGACAGGCACTCCACTGCCGCTGCCACTGCTCATACGAGAGGGCGGAGGAAGGAAGGAACGGGAAGATGGTCACAACGATTGCATAGCTATTACCCCTTGCAGTAGCCCCTCCTCCCCCCTCCCTTTTTTCCTGCTCTTTCCCCCTCACCCCTCCTCCCCGCCCCACCTCTGTTGGGGTGAGCAGTGTCGGCCAGGGCGGCCATGAGATGATCCATCAGCTCCGGCCACACCTCCGGCCAATCACAGGATGCCACGTGTGCAATCGCGAGGCCCACAGCTGACTGGACCTTGGGCTCCTCGTCCACCAGCCCCTGGAGGAGGAGAGCCCGCACCGCTGCCTGCCAGCATGGCACAGATTGGTGACGTGGCATGACGGAAATTGTGGAAGCAGAGGATTAAGGGGGCACAATGTTAATCAGATATAAGTGAAGTGGAAATCTTGTGCAGCACTGTTGCTTGCCTACCACAAAGTCTTGCTCCTTCGCACAAATTGCTTTGCATCCGCCCTCCCTCCACTTACCATCTACCAGCTCCATCAACCTCTGCAGCAGCAGCAGCAGCAGCAGCGGTTGCACTGATGAACATGCAAAAGGCGCAAGCTAGACATCCCTCACTCTGCTCTCTCACCTTTCCCCTTTCCCCATCCCTTCTCTTCGCCCTCCCCCTTCCCCTCTCCCCTCATCCCCCTTTCCCCCTCTCCCCTCCCCCCTCCCCCCTCCCCCAACCTCTCATACTCCAATTTACCTTGTCCTCCGGTGATACAGTGAATTTCTTTCCTCTCCCTTCTCCCTCCTCCTCCTCGTCACCCGCCTGCCAGTGCCTCTGCACCACCTGCCGCAGCAGCACTGCTGCTAGGTGCCGACCAGAGAGCACGAGAAGAATCGCCAGGAATATGGGGAATATTACAGCGAACGAAGAGATGGTGATAGAGAGAGCCGGGGGACATGGAAGGGAGAGGGGGGAACACGAGAGGAGAGGAGGAGGAGGGCCAAGCCAGGGACGCACCGGAGAAGGGAAACGAAAGGAAGTTGCAAGCACGAGGACAAGTTAAGGAAACCCTTTTGAGAAGAGTGGGTAATCATAAGAGAGGACAATTGCACACAAAGCAGACAAGTGAGGGAGCTAAACAGGAGCCTGCTGTGGGGTCAGGTCAGGTCAGATGTGCATTCGGGACAGGTTGAAGCGGACGAAGAGGAGGATATTTGTCGTGTGCCCGCGTCGAGGCCCTTGTTGCCCGCCACACCCATCAGCGCAGGAGCGTAGCCTGCACGGCGCCGCATGGTTGGTGGTGAGGGACGTGGGGAGGGCAGAAGGGGTTTAGGGATTGAGCAACGGGCGAGCTGGAGATGACAGAGGAGCTTGAGCACACGCGGGACGATGGACGAGAGGCTGGGACGTGGGACAAGGAACGTGTGATGAAGGACGTGGGATGAAATAATGAATGGACAGAGGGGATCTTCGTGCATGTGCACGAGGCGTCGGGAGGCACGGGACAAAACAGTGTGTGATGTGTGACTCTCGTTTTGATAAGCCACGTGGCATTCGCACGGGATTCGAGCGACGAATCTAGTAGAGAGTGGGAGTGGAACACAGATTCGCAGAGTGCAGCGAGGCGACGACAACAACGTAACGCCGCGCAGAACAACTCATCGCCTTGTGACACAACTATCATCGCCTTGCGACACGCCTATCGTCGCCCCGCGACACACAGCCTCGGAACACACGGGTCATCGACCTGCGACACATCTAGCATCGCCGCGCGACACACCTGCCATCGCTTCGGCCTGTCGCAACGCCTCTTCTGCGACAACGCGGTTGGTGTTTCCCGGATCCAGGCATTCCCTCAGGCGACACAGCAGCCACTCCTGGTCCGCCGTCTGTGACGAAGCGGCCGCCATTGTCACTTCTAATTTCGGATCGTTTCCCGAACGTCGTCACTGACTTGCACGAAACGAACGCCGTCTGCCGAAATCTTTCCTCGATTCACCTAAGCCAGAATTCACGTAGTTGTGAACCTTTGGTTGACTCGAAACGATCCCGAATTCGCATTTACTGGGCAGCTATGCGACTGTTGAGACGAATATGCTTGGGCAAATCCTTGGGTTCCTACAAGGCGTCAATTTCAAGAACGATACTGCCCAGCCTATCTAGCTCGGCAGGATGGGCTTGACAATGAAGCAATGCGAGACAACCAAGGTAGGGAGATGTGTTGACAGAGGCGACCAGCGGAGAATACTGATGGCGGAGCAGAGGGCACAATTCGGGACGGGACGGGACTGGACAGGAGCAAGATGGCAACAATCATGTTCCACCTGCACTGCAGGAAATCCATCCGTCTGCACGGATTCTTCTGTTGATGATGATGACCATCCATGGATGGGGGATGGGTGCCAGACTCAGCAGTCGCTTGCGGGGTCCGTGTGTACACTCGTAAGCCAATATAACTAGTAAGATTATTCCCTTAGTAGTAATTGAAGTTTTCAACTAGCTACTAAGAATGTCTCCAGTTTTCTGTTGGAACTACTATTTTAACCGTACATGAATATTTCTCGTAAGCAGATATGAGGGCTTTTGATTGGACGAATAGAGGGAGCTGACCAAACCAGAAAAATGCGGAATGCGGGCTTTGAAATGAAATACTGCAAAAAATGGCATGTACATTTTTTTACATTTCAAAGTATCAGACATACGGCAGGAGTTGTTCATTATGACATCCAAAATTGGTAGACATGCTTCCCATTGCAGAGCACCACACAACAAGCAGCATTCATCTGACATGAAGTTTATGGAGAAGCTCAATAAGATTACATTATTGATAATCAAACAGGCGGGGTGCCTTTTGTCCGAAAGAGCACCTTCTACTCTGAACACCATGTGATCCCAAACCCATCCTTCTACAAGGAATCTAAGGAACTGGAAAAGGCTGGAAGGCTGGTCTAACACTCTTTTGGAAGCAGAGGAATGGCGCTGTTCTCCCTGTTTCTAGCTAGGTAAGCGGGGAGTAAGAATTGTTCCATTAAGGCAATCAGCTCAAATCTGCGTCACCGTGCATGTGTCGTTGATGTACTGCAGCGCCAGGGGGTTAATGTTCACAATACACTCCATCAAATGGGTGTACTGAGGCGACACAACCTTCCAGATCACATCCACGTGCGCGCGCAGCGTGGCATTCAGCCTGAGCGGAACGTACTGCTCCGCCATGTCGGAGCGCAGCGCCATACCGCCACCGTAGAGAGGGAATGCCATGGTGGAGGCGGACCCGTTGAAACTGTTCCACTCCAGCTGGTTCTGCTTGAACTTGGGAAACTGCGGAAGGGGGCGATGGCAAGGGGGCAGCCGATACGGGAACCGATAAGGTGGAATGCCCGTAGCGAAGGGATACGGAAGCGGAGATACACGCGGGAATCCAGGAACGTCATGCTTTGGGCGAGCGGCAATGAACGGAATGGAAGATTCAATGCAAAGATATGTTACGTCTATGTGTGAGCGGGGAGGATCACTCACGCGGCCCTTCATCATGGTCTTGATGGAGCTGTAGCCGATGCTCACGTCGCCGCCGTCGAACCACGAGACGTAGCGCGTGTTGGGGTTGCGAATGGAGAAGATGAGCGTGAGGTTGGCGTACAGCTGGTCCGTGGGCAGCCCGTTGCCGTCCAGCATGTCGGGAAACGTCTGAAACTCGTTCACCATCGCGTACTGCGGACGGGGGAGGGGGGATGCCACACGCATGAGGGGCAGAGGGAAAGGAACGTGAAGGGCAGGGAGAGTGAGGCAGTGTACTTGAAAACAAGGGGACTGGGGCGGGGCCAAAGGAGAGGCGGCGGTACTTGAGAACGGGCCAGCGACTAGGGGGAGCAGCATGGGAACGATTTGGAGCGAACAGATTTCCTGGTCTCCGACGTACGTCCATGGTGTATGTGGGCGGTGTAGGCTGGTACACGACCCACGCGATAATGCATCCCGCGACGAAGAGCGCCGCGATGACCAGCAGCGACCACAAGCAGAAGCACTGCTTAAAGCGCTTCTTGCGGAATTTCTCCCTTTGGATGTCCGGATAAAACTCATCCTCGTGATCCGAATCGTCGAACACCGCCTCTTCGCCGAACTTTCCTCCCATCTCCGCGTATCCCTCCGGGTGCTGCGGCGACGACGGTGCTGAGGATTCCGGCGACTCGTTCACGCGCGAGGTGCGAATAGAATGCGCGGGAGTCTGCACGAAGTAGGTTTCCGTGGGGCGATAGAGATGGCTGCCGTGGATCGACCCGCTGGACATCAAGTACGGGTCGTATGCGCTTGGAGTCTCGACTGTGTAGCCTGGGTTCTCGTATTGTGGCGCGTAGTAAGGGGACTGAGAGGCGTTGCGGTGGCTGCGCAGGGGGGATGCGGTCGGGGAGCCTTGATCGCTGCCATCCCCGCCGTCTCCGCCGTTCTTATAGGCCCACGAGGGAGTGCGGTTGAAGGATTTGTTCGACGGTCCCCCGTAGAGAGGGTTGCGCCCACTCGGTGGAATGTTGCTTCGGTCTGACATGCTGTCTACGCTTGGGGGTCGACAATGCTAGAGTCTGGCTGAATTGGGGCGGATTGGTCTATCGAGGAAGTCACTTGAGAAAAGCGTGAGAGACACCAGTCATGAGAATGACGTTTGAGACGCGTGTGCAGTCGTAATTCTAGAGCTGGAATGTGGGAGAGAAAGGGCAGAGTTGGATCCCAAGTCGGGTGGAGCCAGGCAGGCAGGACGCAGAATGCATAAGGGGCTGAATCGGGAGAGCACGCGGTCTCGCATCGCGCAGTGTGGTGTCGCTGCGAGCTGTGCACAGATGGAGGACACTGCAGATAATCGACGGCCAGCATGGGCGGTTTAGGTTGTTGGATTGATTGGAACTCGATGTAGTCAAGGTGAAGCCCCTTTTAGCAGGTGTTACATCCCATACAAGAACTTTTGCGCACAAGTCGTCTTCCCACGCGCCTTGGTTTGAAGCCCTGGGCTGGGCTGGTCTGGTCTGGTCTGGCCTGGGACCAAATGGTCATTCAGCGGTTCGTGAGAAAAAAGGTATCGTTACTAGAACAGGGTCGGAACCCTCGACCTCGCTTAGCAGAAATTGATGTTACATCATACGTGAGTTGATTTGTGCATAATGTAGTGCGTAAAGCGCATTTGCATACAAAGAGAATAATATGTGTTAGTGCCATGATACCCCGCTCATGTTGGGTGCCAAGGAACTGCGCGAGGGTGAGATGCCTGGCAAGCTCATGTCTGCAAAATTCAAGACACGGAAGGAGAGAACAATGATCACTGCGCTTCAGTGGAAGGGTACGGTGCGGAATGACTCTAAGGGGATACTCGACGCCGCATCCGAGTTTTATGCGGAGCTGTTTTCGGAACCCACCTTGGCGGGTGGTCCATGTTGGCAGATTGCTCCTGACAAAAGGTTGGGTGAGGCGCAGGTCCAGCTGTTGTCAGCAGAATGGTCTGAAGCGGAAGTGAGGGAGGCTCTAGACGGCATGGCGAAAGGCAAATCTCCTGGGGCTGACGGGATTCCGAAGGAGTTTTTCTGTGAGCACTGGGACTTGCTGGGAGGAGACGTGCTTGGTTTCGTGAAGCAGTTCAAGGAATCTGCTGTCCTCCCCCCTGCCGCTCTGGAGGCGGTCACGAAACCTGTTACACAAAAAAGGCGCGAAAGACCAGGTGCAGAACTACCGGCCGATCACGTTGCTCAACAGCACATACAAGTTAGTGGCGCGAGTGCTGGCAAATAGAATGCGGAAGGTGCTACATGCGGTTGTTTCAGAGGAGCAATATGGGTTCTTACCTGGGAGGAGGCTGTCGGACGGAGTCTCGTTGATCGCAGACATAGTGGAGGCGGCGAAGTGCAAAGATGAAGACTAGTATTTACTTCTGGTGGACTTTCAAAAGGCTTTTGATTCAGTCTCGCGCGAGTACCTATTCGGCACAATGGAGAGAATGGGCTTCCCGCGGCGGTTTGTGCAGTGGTGCGAAGGCCTTCACGCGGGTTCAACGACGAGGCTGTTGCTCAACGGATGGTTGGGGGAGCCGGTAGCGGTCAGGAAGGGGGTGCGGCAGGGCTGTCATCTGGCGCCGTATCTTTTCCTCTCTGCGGTTGAGCCTCTCTGCCAGGAAGCAAAAAGAAGGAAACTTGGGATCAGCAACCCGTACGGCGAACGACTCGGGTACCTGGGGTACGCTGACGACACCACGCTGGTGCGCAAGGGGAAAAGGCAGGTTGGACGAGCGGTGAAGCTGCTGAACGAGTTTGGAGATCAATCGGGGCTCCGGGTTAACAATGACAAGTCCGCGCTGATGCCCTTGGGGAGGAACCTGCGTAAGAAGCCAGGCAAGAAATCAGCTTTCAAATGGGTGCTGTCGAGCGAAGCGGAAAGGGTCCTGGGGGTGTGGGTCTCACCCTCAGGAGACGCATCGGTAACCTGGGAAATCACCCTGGTGAGGGCGACATCGGAGCTGGTGAAGTGGCAGGTTCATTACCTGACTACGTCTGGCAGGGTCGCAGTGGTCAACGGGTACATCAACCCGATCCTCGCTTTCCAGGCGCAGGTCTATCCCCCTCCAACAGAGATCTGGGCGAAGCTCGTGAAGCTGCTTCACAACTTCGTCACCGGTAACCACTCGACGGCGGGGAAACAGTTTGCGCTCTGGAGTCAGGAGCTGCTGTTCAAGGGGAGAGGAGAAGGTGGTCTTGGTGTCCGGGACCCGTGTGCTGAGCTGGGGGGCCTGGCAGCCAGGAGGATCGCATTGCTGGCGTCACAGCCGCTGGGGCTGCGCGCCGATCTTGCGCTAGCAGCACTGGATGTTTATGATCTTCAGGTTTTCTGGGCGCACACGGGGTTGATAAAGCAGTGGGAAGGGAGGTGTATGAGGTGGAAGCGGACCTGCGAGTTGTTCCTGGAGTCTAGCTTCCCCTCGTGCATCAGCGTGTCGTCGGTTTGGGATGTGGAACAGGAGCTGCTGCTCTTCAATCGGAGGCTGCTTCTAAACGGGAAGACACCTGCGGGACGGCAGAAGGCGGCTAAAGGTCTAAAGCGGTATGTCATGAAGGACTTAATTAATGTCGCCGAGGACGGTTCGAGGGCTCTTAAGGGCACCCAGGAGCTCGAGCGGGAGTTCGGGGGTTCAGCAGGGGCGAAGCTGGCGAAGAGGGTTTTTGACGCTGCCCCGGATGAGTGGAAACAGTTGCTGCTGGCGCCTGTCACGGCGCATACGGTGCTAGCTGCCTCTAAGTTCGTGCTGAAGGCAGGGACGAGCCAGAGGGTCTAGAGGATTGAATGTGTGGAGGGGGAAACCCTAGTCTGCCGAGCTATCAGCTGTTTTCGGGGGGCGCTGGGAGATGCGGAGGAGAAGCTGCGCAGTTTTCAGCCGCGCGAGGTGATACCTGCGGTGGTCAGGGAGGGCCGTTTTCTTGGTCCTGCTGGCGCCCCTAAAGCAAGATTGCTGTGCTCGCCCATCTGGGATGGGAACCGTCCGGCGGAGCTGAAACAGTTGAAGGAGGGTTTCAAGCGGTGGGGCGGGAAGCCGAAGCAGCAAGCCAGGAGACCCTCGGCCGTCAGATTGACTGGGAGAGGGTGATCGACGTAAGGGACTCAACGGCCCTTCCGAACCGGGCGAGGGACGTGATGCTCCGGATCCACCGCCGTAACCTGTATGTGAGGGAGCGGTTGCATTTCCTCGGTACTGGTGTTGCATGTCCGCATTGCGGGGAGAGGGAGACGCTGGAGCACGGGCTGTTCCTCTGCCCGCGTATCCAGCCGGTGGTTCGGGCATTACTGAAGGCGCTTCGCATGCTGAATCCGCATCGGAAGATCGAAACGCTGGGGGACCTGGTTTTCAAGGAGGGGACAGCTTCGGGCTTTCCCGAGGCTTCGCTTACAGCGATCGCTCTTCACCGAATCTGGGTGGAGAGGTGTGATGCGGTCTTTGAACGGAGCAAGTTCCGAGCCAGAAGGGCACTGCGGAGGATCGCGGCGTCTTTCCAGCTGCACATCAGAATTTACAAGCGTGCCAAGGCAGCATCCAAGAGGCTCGGTGCCACTCGTCCAGGACTGGATGATGACGAGTGCCGGGTCTTGAGTCACATCCTCAACAACACAGCACAACCGGCCACGTGGTCTAAAGGGCTCATGGCCATCTGGTCGAAACCGAGGGCTGCTTTCCGTCCCCCTTAGAGGCTCAGGATGGGTACGGAGGGTGATATCCCCCTAGGCCCATCAGCTACAGTTACGACTGCCGATGTATTTTGCACCTTTTTAGTGTATTTTGCATTAAAAAAAAATGATAACCTGTGTAACTGAACTGCGAGGTATGACCACCATGTCAGAATATTATCTTATTGTTCTAGCCTGTAGTGGGGTGCTCTATAGCGAGTACAACCCTTCTAGGGTTTGCTATTTGTATCCTCATTCTTGCTACTTCAATCCTCTTTCTTCCTTCAAACTTTGACACACCAATGGCTGCCGTCCAAGATTCGCGAAAGAATGTATTAGCATTTGTCTCTGCTCGTCGTTTCGTCATTTTCGGTGGCATTTGGTAGACCGAATGTTACGGGTGCAATGGAGTGAGCGAACGAAGATTGCACTATCGAAGCACGAGTACAATGAGCGAAGGCATGAGCGAAGGATTTGTGGAAACAAAGAACGAGAATGAAATGACTAAGAACGAAGTGAGTACAAATAGGAAACCCTAATTGGGTTGTACCCCCTATGGGATACCCCACTATAGCCTACAGAAACAAGTAAGCTATAAGTTCTGACACACCCCCATAGGCAAAGTGGGGGAGAACAAGGGGTCACAAGACCAGTCAAGCAAAGCAAAGCAAAGCTCAAGGTGGATCACAAAGTCACCACGCATTCCGAGCACAAGTTCAAAGGCCAGAAGGCCAGTTCACATGCAAGATCATATATAGAGATATACAAGAACAAGAGTATATATATGCGAAAGTACAAGCAAGGTCAAGAGGAGAGCAAGTGAGGCAAGACAGGCACAAGACCCAACTGCGTGCAGCAACGCTGATGATCACAAGGCGCAAGTGCCTTGGTGAAGACATCAGCAGTGTTGGCCTCAGAGGCCACGTACGCAAGTCGCAGCTGTCCACGCTGCTGTAGCTCACGAGCAAGAAAGTAACGAAGAGCAATGTGCTTCGTTCTGTGCTCCAGTCGCTGCTCTCGACACAAGGCCAGCATGGCCTTGTTGTCTACGTACAGGACTGGAGGAGAACGAGGCTGCTCTCCAAGGTCGGTCAGCAGGTAGGTGAGCCAGCGTAACTCCTGTGCAGCCATAGCCCCAGCGTAGATCTCAGCCTCACAACTGGAGCCGAGAACAGAAGACGAGCGGGTAGCCCGCCACGAGACAGAGCCGGAACCAAGGCTGAAGGTGTAACCCTGTGACGACCGCTGCGTAGCCTGGTCGTCAGCCCAAGAAGCGTCTGCGTGCCCAGTGAGGACCACTGGACTGCGCCCTCCAAGCACTAGCCCCATGCCCGACGTACTGCACAAGTAGCGCAACACCCTCTTCGCTGCAGCCATGTGCTCTGGTCGGTGTCTCCCAGGAGCAACAAAGCGTGCGAGAATGCTAAGAGGGTATGCGAGGTCAGGTCGTGTGCAGGTCATCAGGTACATGAGGCAGCCAACAAGCTCTGCAAACGGGCCACTCGACTCTACGGACTCATCCGAAGGCAGAGCTGAGAGCGAGTGGCGAGTAGGCAGAGGAGTGGCCTGAGGCGAGGAGTACGTGAAGCCGAAGCGCTGAAGGACCTGCTGCACCATGTGTGACTGAGTCAGGGTAATGGTGCGGCGTGCTCTGTCCCGGGTGATCTGCAAGCCAAGGTAGCTGCGCAGTTCACCCAGGTCAGTGCACGTGTGTCTCTTCTGCAGCTCGGACTTCACGTAGGCGAGTCCAGCAGTGTCAGCTGTGGCAAAGACCAAGTCGTCGACGTACACGAGGATGTAGAACGGCGGCAGAGAGGTGTCGGTGCGCAGAAACAGCGACGGGTCGGCAGTGGAAGGAGCAAACCCAAGTGCCGCGAGCGTAGTCCTCAGTGTGTCGTGCCACTCACGTGGCGCCTGGCGGAGACCGTAGACTGGACGCCGGAGACTCCACTGGGTACCAGGAGGGAAAGACCCAGTGAAGCCAGGTGGGCGACGCAGCCAGATCTCCTCGTGCAGGCTGCCCTGCAAGAAAGCTGTGCTGAAGTCGAGAGAGTGCAGCTCGTAGTCACGGTGAGCAGCAACGTGTAGCAGAACCCGAAGAGTGGTCATCTTCGGGGTGGGGGAGAAGGTCTGAAAGTAGTCAACCCCCTGCCGCTGACTGAAGCCACGAGCCACGTAACGCGCCTTGAAGACAGGCGGAGAACCCGGCGGCCGCTTCACCCTGAAAATCCACATGCCACTGACGATGTTCGCCCCAGGAGGGGGAACAGCGTCAACGTAGGTGCCTGTGGACTTCCAGGAAGCCATCTCTGCATCCATAGCTGCCTGCCACTGAGAGGAGTAGGGACCCTCTATCGCCTCCGCGTAAGAGCGCGGAGTCGGGATGTCTGGTGCATCCGGGTCTCCCTCAGGGGCTAGCAGTACAGACGCGAGACGAGGTGAAGCGGCGGCCAGACACTGGAACTCCTCCTGCCTGTCCTCAAGGACGTCCGTGCCAAGGGCACACTCACCCCCGACGGACGGAGGACAGGCGGACTCAGACTCAGTGACAAGAGGAGCAGCGTAGTCTATACGACAGCGCGCAGCAAAGTCGACAAGCTCAGTGACAAGGGCAGACGCAGCAGACGACTCGAAGGAGGGGTCAGTGACAGCAGTAGCCAGGAGACGCGTGACAGTAGGACTGGCAGCACGAAGGGCGTCCGACTCCGGGTCGGCAAGAGCAGGAAGAGAGGAAGCAGGAGGAGAAGGCAAAGGGGCACGCAGAGGAGCAGTGGACGGACGCAGTGACATCCGGTGCGTGCCAGGGACAGGAGGAGGACGCTGACGCGACCCGCGACCACTAGCGCGCTCAGTACGAACAGGCGACACAGGACGAGACGCAGGCTCACGACGCTCAGTAAGACCTCCAGTCGGACCAGCGTAGGGAGAAGGAGCAGGCAAAGGGGAGGCAGGCTGTAGCTGTGGCTGTGACCGGACAGGCTGCGGACCCTCTAAGGGAGGAGGAGGAGGTGTAAGACCAAGAACCTGCTGCAGGAGCGGAACGAAGTACGGTCGGGGCCGCGCGGCGACGCTAGAAACAGCAGGAACAGCACCAGCAGCCCCGGCAGGAGCACCCACTCCAGTAGCACCTCCAGCAGCACCACCAGAAGCTCCAGAACCTCTAGCCGCAGCACCAGGAGCACTGTCAGTCGGGCCGCCAACGGCAGGCTCAGCGCCAACACCCTCAGCAGGACCAGCTCCAGGAGAACTCTCAGACTCAACAGCTCCAGCACCCACAGTACGAGCGCCAGCGGGGCGCGCAGCAGCAGTACCCTCTGCAGCCGAAGAACCACCAGCACCAGCAGCACGCCTCCAGCGCCCGGCAAACCACTCACGCAGCTCCTGCGGGGAGAGTGGCTCCCGGCGAGACGAAGCACCCCCAGGCACAGCACCTCCAGGCTCAGCACCCCTAGACACAGCACCCCCAGGCACGTCACCCCCAGGCTCAGCACCCCCAGGCTCAGCACCCCCAGGGTCAGCACCCCCAGGCACAGCACCCCCAGACCCGGCACCTCCAGACTCAGCACCCCCAGGCACAGCACCCCCAGGCTCAGCACCCCCAGGCTCAGCACCCCCAGACTCGGCACCTCCAGGCTCAGCACCCCCAGACTCCGCACCCCCAGGCTCAGCTCCCGCAGCAGCACCAGAGTCACCAGTGACCTCGACAGGCTCGACCGCGTCTACCTGGGACACACCTGAAGGGGGAGGACCCTGAGGGGGGAGGGGGACTACCGGGGGGGGACCTGGTACCAAGAAGAGCGGGGGTGGGGGGAGGGACGGAGTGCGGTAGGGGAAGAGGCGGTAGTAGGGTACCGACTCGTCGAACGTGACGTCCTGGGAGGACAGAACACGTCGAGAGGTGGGGTGGTAAAACTGCCACCCAGGGGCGTCGGGGGGGAACCCCAGGAAGACGCAGGGAGAAGCACGAGGGGATAGCTTGTCCGCAGACAGGTCGCGAACAAACGCCCGAGATCCCCAGACCCGGAACGCCGACGCATCGCCAACCTTCCCCGTCCACAGCAGGGCTGGGGAGGTCTCCGGTCGAGAGACCCTGGGGTGGAGGTTGATCTGGTGCGCAGCGTACCTGACCGCAAACGGCCACAGAAAATGGGGAGCAGCCGCATGCATCATGGACGTACGAGCGACGTCCATGACCATGCCAATGCGGCGCTCAGCAATCCCATTCTGCTGCGGTGAGTCCGGAAGCGTGAAGGTCTGACGGATGCCTCGCGCACGACAGTAGGCACTCAGGAGGCCAGAGGAGAACTCTCCGCCTCTGTCCGAGTGCAGACGCAAAACAGGGAAGTCAGAGCCAAAGCTCCTCCGAAGCAGGAGACGAGCTGCGCGGATCCAGTCGATCAACACTGCAGTGACCTCACCCTTGCTGCGCAAGGGGAAGACTGTGGTGTAACGCGAGTAGTCGTCAACCACCAGCAGGAAGTAGCGCTCCTGACCCTGTCCACGGACGCGGGCTGGGCCCCACACATCCATATGAAGCGTCTGCAACGGGGCCTCTGTCGGAGGAAACTGGGAGGAGTGAGGGGCAGCACGCTGGCGCCCCTCGACACAGGGGACACAGGTGGGGCCAGGGCCCGGAGGAAGGGGAGGGAGAGACCGGGGAAGACCAGACACAAGGACTCGCGAGGCCATGCCTCTGAGCCGAAGCAGAGAGGGGTGGCCAAGGCGGTGGTGCCAGAGGAGGGTCTCGTGAGACAAACGACGGCACGAGCAGGGGGCAGACTCAGGACCAGACCTGGACGCTGCAGCAAACACCTGACCAGACGAAGTGACCCTACCAGACTCAGCACCTGGAGGAGAAGCAGTGGTCAGAGTGTACAGGCTCGACCCTGGCCGACGTGTAAACGTAGCCAGGTGGCGACCTGTATCCTCCTCCGTGCAGTGGGTCACCCGCTGACGAGCAGGGGTGAACTGGTGGACACCCGCATCCTGGAGGTCAGCACCACTCACCAAGTTCGTCGAGA